GAAAGCTCATCAAAAAAGTGACAATGAAACTCAGAAAAACAAATAATAGACTTAGAAATAAAATAAATGACCAGGATATTGAAATTAAATCTTTGAGTAAGAAGATAGAACATATAATGTAACGAAGAAATTCTCTTTAATAAATGGTATTGAGAAAACTGAATGACCACATGGAAAATTATGAAAAGATCACTGCCTCGCCACATACAAAGTTCATTCAAAATGAATTAAAGACTTGGAAGTAAGACCTGAGTCCATAAAATACTTAGAAGAAAACAGTTGCCATGCTAAGCACCTTGAAATCAGCCTTGAAATGTGTTTGGAGACACAATCCAACAACAAGAGAAAAAAAAGCAAGGATAAAACTAAGAACCACATAAAGTTTAAAAGCTTCTATTCAATGCATCAAATGATAAAACATTCTGCTGTGAGGGAAGCTATTTGTACATCATGCATCTGACAGGGGTTAATATTGTGCTGTGAGGGAAGCTATTTGCACATCATGCATCTGGCAAGGGTTAATATCTAAAACATTCAAAAATTCACAAGATTCAACAAGTATACAAGAAGCTCAATTAAGAAGTGGGCAGAGGATCAATAGACACATCTCCAAAGAAGGTATGCAGTTGATCTACAACACATGAAAAGATTTTCATCTCTTCTTATTAGAGAAATGCAAATCAAAACAGTGAAATATCTCCTCACATCTATGAGAATGGCGATTATCCGAAACATGTGCAAGTGTTGAAGATGTGACTGGAAGGAAACACTTGGTTGGTGGGGATGTAAAAAGAGAGAGAGGAAGAGAGAGAGCTGTGGGGGTCCATCAGTTTTCCTCTTGTGGTGAGCTGCTGAGAATTGTGTGTAGATTATAGATGAGTTCAGATTGTGCTTTAAAAAGGAAGCTTGTTACTAGCTGCTTATTCGGTATGTCAGTGAGATCCATGAAGAGTTTTAATAGAGGAGAATTACTCCGGATGCAGGTAAAGAGTGGCTGGTTCTAGAAGAACTAGTCTGGGGGGAAGCCAGGAATAGAGGAAAGACTCCAGGATGAGTGTCCTGTGTGACAGAGCCACTGCTCAGAGGGAAGGACATGGAGGCTAAAGCAAGGGGCTCTGTGGATGTGTGCACCACAAAACTGAGGGAAGAGCGTACTTTAGAAAAACATGGTAGGCCAGTCCCATCAAGCAGAGCTGACAGATAAGGAAAGACAATCCCAGATTTAGCCACAAGCACTGAACGTAAAGCAGAAGAACACTAACAAGAGCCAGAATCCTGGATGTGGCTGCTCCTTCACCGCTGTTACGCTGTGAATATAACTTACAAGTGCTATATGACAAATCCATCTAATAGTTAAAAGCACTATATTGTCATAAAAAGGTATTGTCATCATTGTAATCATAAACATTAAAAAAATCAACGTCAGTAGATTTGTGAGGCTAAAAACAAGTTGTAATAGGCAAAACCAGGAGGAAATGATGCAGAGACACTAAATGTACATCTTCCAAAAGTTTATTCATTAAAGAGGAGGAAGAGACCATGAAGAACATTGAATGCACACAGGGTTGTTTTGTTCTGCTGTTTTTCTAGCGTGGTGAGGCCTGAACACACCTCAAGCTCAGCTTCAGGATCAAGAAATGATGCGAATTCTTCCTGATGCATGAGGGGTTGCTCTTCCAGGGGCACCGAACAGAGGGAAAGAGCAAGAGACGGGGCAGTGAGAGGGTGGGTGTGGTGGCAGCAAGAAGAGAGACTGGTCTCAGGGCCATTTCCTTTGGAAAATGGGAGTCAGGCCACCTGCCAAGGGAAAGAAGAGGCCAGAGATCTGTTGCTAACCCACCGAGGGGTGTGCTGACCGCTACATTCGCCCGAAAGTAGGAGACTCGGAGACGCAAGAGAATGAAGCAGGCGCCTGGGGTCTGGAGTCCAAAGTCTGTTTATTAGGACTGTGCATGGGTATATATAGGGTCTGTAGGTGCAGGGAAAAACAAGAAATGTGCCCAGGAAATGTGCCCAACGCAAAGGGTGGGGTGCATGCTTGTTCCAGACCTGGGGCTTCTTGTAGCTTCTACTTGAAACAAAGTAGGGGGCTGCAGCTATATGCAGGACAGAGTGCACTGTGCTCTGCTGACTTGCTTGTGGCCTACTGGGGAGCGTGCTCACCCATGCACAACATTAGCCAAGGCGGACAGGTGCATTTGAGGTCCTGCAGAGTTAGCCACATACACCTAGTGGGAAAGGAGAGGCCTGGAAAAGATCAATGTGGAGGTCAGAAGACAGCTCCTGAGAAAGGCCCAGAAGGCTGCTGGGTCCTGAAGGCAGGGCAGCGAGACTGGGTGTTTCACTGACCACCAGCTGAGGCCTTAGCAAGTGACAGGAGCAGCTGCTGACTGATTCTTTCTGTCCCCCAGTCCCTGTGTCCCCTCCTGTGTTCACCCTCAGTACTCCCAGGACCCCGGCTCAGGAGGGAGACTTCGTGACTCTTCGCTGTGAAGCACAGAGAGGTTCTCTCCCCATCTTTTACCAGTTTTATCATGACAATGCCCCCTTGAGGAGAAGCTCAACCTTGTCTGGGGGAGGAGTGTCCCTCAGCTTCTTCCTGGGTACTGAACATTCTGGGAACTACCACTGCACAGGTGACAATGGCTTTGGCCCCCAGAAGAGTGAGTCCATGGACCTCTCCATCTCTGGTGAGTTCTGTTCTGGCCAGAATTTGTTATCACTGCCCAACACCATGGTTTCACCTTGGAGATTGCAGATACAACATTTCTGGTTGATAGTTCATGACTTCAATTATGGAAATTAAGAGATCATGTGAAGACGTTCCCATAGTGTGAATTTTTGAATAAAGAGCTAATATAAAAATGTAAATGTTCTGAGACCCAGACTGCAAAGTCAGAACTCAGTCTATCTAGGGAAGTGCCCAGACCTAAACGCCTCAGCCTTGTATCTCTCTACTTTGCTTTATTTTCTCTTCAGAGTTAGCAACATCTAAAGCCTCTTTATTTCCTGTTTTTTATTGGTCTCCCTCAGTACCAGACATAAGCATTATGAAAATGACATCTCTTGGGTTTTGGCCTCTACCCTGTGACTACAGAGCAGGTCTTCAGTCAGCATGTGTTATGCAAAGAGCAAAAAGGTTCTGATGTGAGATGAGGAAGTTACCAGCAGGGAGAACCCTGATCTTTGTGTCGCTTATATCAACTGAACACAAATAAATGAGCCCTAAATTAGCAACTAAGTTGTTCGTCAGTGGAAAGTTTGCACTGTGAGCCTTGCAGACTCTCTGGCAGAATAATTTACATTTTCTTTGAAGGAATGTGTCCCAATGCCCCAAACAAGAAACAGATTTCATGGGAATGCGCTCTGGTGAGCTAAGCTAAACCCATTTGAAATTTACTAACAGCCCTGGGTCACTGAAAGACACACACATACACACACGCATAGAGGAGAGAGAGAGAGAGATTCAAACAAACACATAACTCCATGTATAACTTTATTCACTGGAGGAAATTATAAGCAAAATGTGTAATATAGGAATTTGCATTGATGCATTTAAAATATTAAAGGTTAAGAAAGGACACAGTACAGAACACTACAGAAAACAGTAAAGTTCTTCAGTGTGTCTTTAATATAATCAAGGAAAGTTAATGCCAGATTTCAAAATTCCATTTTATAAATAACTTCTAATACTTGACAGACAGTAGCTCATCATTAATGGATTGTAGTTCACTAGCAGACCATGAAAAGTGAACTAGTAGATTGTAGGGGCATATAGAATTAAATGAGTGGATTTTTCAGCTGTAGAGTTTAAGATGAGGAAAGAGAAGATAAATAATAAAAATAAACCTCAGCATTTATATGACTATAATTTATCAGAAAGTGGTGAAATAAATTGTTTGAAGAACAGTTTGGCAATGTGTGTCATTAATTGAAATGCCTGTATTCCTCATCCCAGAATTCCACTTCTAGGACTTTACCCAAAGAAATAGGTGCAAAAATGTACAATAATCTATGTACAAGATTGTTTAGTGTAATAGTATCTGAAATTTAAAAACAATAACAACCTACACATCCTTTAATAGGAACTGATTTGATGTAATAAGTTCATATAATGGTTTTTTGTGGTTATTAAAAAATAATTAAGCCAAATAATATTTGTCCCAAATTATCAAACCATAGATTTGAAAGAGTCATATTTTATGGTGTGTAAATTGTATCTCAAATTGTACCTAAAAATCAAAATAATTTTTTTATTACAAAGTTTATTTTTACATCATTTTGCACATTTTTTTTTCCATCTCGATTGTAATCCCACGGGTTTCCCATCACCAAATCACCCCTGTGCCACC